ACAGCCCGTTTGCCAACTTCCACTGTACCATTGTGTGCCAAAAGGGGGGGGAGCATGGACTTGGTCGTGCGCGCATGTGCAGGGTGTGTGGCATATATAATTATGGGTGTGGGCACGCTCACGCGTGACACCCCCCCCGCACTTCCCCTGCTTTTGGCACGTGATGGCAAAAAGGTTAGCCATCACTGTTATAGGTAGTCCTCGGCTTAGGACTGCAATGGTTCTGGCCCTTCCATTGCTAAGCAAGGTGGCTGTTAAATAAACCGTGCTTGATTTTATGACCTCTTTTTTCCCTGTGGTTGTTAAGCGAATCACATAGTCGTCAAGTGAATCCAGCTTCTCCGTTGACTTTGCTCGCTGGAAGGCGACTGGGAAGGTTGCAAATGGGGAGGGATTGCCTGATCCTAGCCATGTTACAACAGGCATAAATACATACAAGTTGCCAGGCACCTGAATTTGATTGCACAATAGTAGAGATGCGATGACAGTCATCAATGGGAGGATTGGCTGTAACTCCCTTTTTTTTTTCCAGTGCCATTTGGAACATTGAAAGGTTGCTAAATGAATGGTTGTAAGTCGAGGACCAACTGTATCATCCTTTTTTTCCCCTTTGCTTTTTGTCCTGATCGATGTAAAAAAAAAAAAAAAAAAGGAGCCGGGTTTGATTGCATGTTGTAGTCATACTCCCGGACTGCAATATTTATTGTCCTGGCATGGAAAGTTAGGGAAAATGCTCTATTGCCAACTGCCCAGCACAGCCAGATCCAAAGACTGGTGCAGACATTTTTTGACATTGAAAGTGCAAAGAAAAGCAACTAAAATGATGAAAGGCCTGGAGATTAAAACATATGAAGAACGGTTGCAGGAACTGGGTATATCTAGTTCAGGGGTCAGCAACCTGCGGCTCTGGAGCCGCATGTGGCTCTTTCACTCCTCTGCTGTGGTTCCCTGTCACTCAAAATATGCATCACAACTGCCAATGTAAGACACCTACCAGCATGTGATTTATTGAGCTTTTCAACTCCCGGTAGGCCAGCCATGGATAAATCCAAGAAAAGAAAAATTTCAGAAGAAAACAGAATGTTTAATTCAACTACATATGCTAGTTTTGTGGCCGCTCAAGAAATAGTCAGGCACAGGAAGGGTTTTGTGGCTCCTGGTGTTTTCTTTTCTGTGGGAAACGGGTCCAAATGGCTCTTTGAGTGTTTAAGGTTGCAGACCCCTGATCTAGTTTAATGAAAAGGAGGACTAGGGGACTAGTGTTCCAATATCTCAGGGGCTGCTACAAAGAAGAGGGAGTCAAGCTATTCTCCAAAGCACCTGAGGACAGGACAAGAAGCGATGGATGGAAACTAAGCAAGGAGAGAAGCAATTTAGAACTAAGGAGAAATTTCCTAACAGTGAGGACAATTCATCAGTGGAACAGAAATTGCCTTCAGGAATTGTGCCTCCCTGGAGGTTTTTAAGAAGAGACTGAAATGTTCAGGATCCCCTGATTAAGCAGGGGGCTAGACTAGAAGACCTCCAAGGTCCCTTCCACCTCGATTCTGATTCTGATTCATGGTAATGAAGGACAACTTTAAGGGAGGGAAGACAGAAAAAAAAAAGTTCTTTTCTCCATTCTCCAATCCCACAGAGGAACAAGATTGAATATTGGCACCAATACCAGTATTTTAACCCATTCTAACCCAAGCCAGGTCTAATGGTCAAGACACCACACTAGAAACCAGGAACCTGTGAGTTCTAGTCCTGCCTTAGACACAAAAGGCAACTGAGTGACTTTGGGTCAATCACCAGGAGACAGTGAGTTCTAGTCCCACTTTATGGCATGAAAGCCGGCTGGGTGACTTTGGGCCAATCACCAGGAGACGATGAGTTCTAGTCCCGCCATAGACATGAAAGTCAGTTGGGTGACTTTGGGCCAATCACCAGGAGACGGTGAGTTCTAGTCCCGCCATAGGCATGAAAGCCGACTGGGTGACTTTGGGCCAATCACCAGGAGACGGTGAGTTCTAGTCCTGCCTTAAGCATGAAAGCCGGCTGGGTGACTTTGGGCCAGTCCCTCTCTCTCTCAGTCCAATTCACCTCACAAGGTTGTTGTTGTGGAGAGAGTAAGAGGAGGAAGGAGTATTAGGTATGTTCATTGCCTTGAGTTATCATACATCTATATAATAAAAATTAATAAAAATTAATTAATTATTCTCCTCGGCTTCTCCTTTCCAATAGGAAGGAGAAAATCCCAGTTCCCAACAACAACTTCTTTTTCCTTTCTCCGTGTAATTTTATGGGAGTGATGGCCAATATTTGTTTCTCCCTGCTTCAGTGGTGGGTTTCAAATTTTTTTACTACCGGTTCTGTGGGCATGGCTTGGTGGGCGTGGAAGGGGAAGGATGCTGCAAAATCCCCATTTCCTCCCGATCAGCTGGGACTTGGGTGGCAGAGAATAGATGGGGGTGGGCCCAGTCAGAATATTTACTACCGGTTCTCCGAACTACTCAAAATTTCCGCTACCGGTTCTCCAGAACTGGTCAGAACCAGCTGAAACCCACCTCTGCCCTGCTTCCTTTCTTGCAGAAGTGGGGTCAAATTGCTGTTTCCTGGAACCCCACACCTTTCCCCACTGACCAGGCATTGCAATGTCTACTCTGCCTTGGTCAAATGTTTCAAAATTATTTACACGAGGCACGGGACTTACTGCAAACTGATAAGATGGGAACTGTCATCCTTTGAAGTTCCTCCTTGCTTTCTCCTGGAATAGAAAGTCAAAACAGTTTCGCTTCGTTTCTCTGGTCCCAGACTTCATCCAGTTTTCATTTTGGGAAGCAGAAAAATGCTTCCCAAAGCATTTTTGGGAAGGGGTGTCTGTGTGTGTGTTTGTGTGCGTTTGTGTATGTAAAGGGTGAACCACATAGGAGGACAATAGGAGTTTATATTCGAGTAGGGAAAACACACTTCCCCAAATGCAAACTTTTTTTAAAAAGTTTTTTTTTTTTACAAACATATTTTTAGCTTAACATATTTTTTAATTTTTAATTGGTTTGTCATTTTAAACTGGGGCCAAATTAATATATATTCTTTTAATTGTTCTTAATGTTTGTATTGTATGTTTTTATCTGGCTGTACACCTCCCTGAGTCCCTTGGGAGAAGGTGCGGTATGTAAATTTGAAATAAAATAAAAATAAAATAAATATCAATGCGTGAACAATGTGACGCCTGGGAGTCATACATTCTAATACAATTAAAACGAATAGCATTAGTCATAGTTATTACTTTCAATCCAACATATATTTCTAATAGCGATGCATATTTATATAATCAATCTTTCTTCAATTATTCCATGTTTTCTCTTATTATTACTCTTATTTTATTATATTCCAATACAAATAAAACTAATAGCATTGGTCATAATTATTACTTTCAATCCAATTTATATATTTCTAACACTGTGTTTCGCTGAAAATAAGACCCTGTCTTATATTTTTTGGAACCCTGAAATAAGCGCTTGCTGGCAGAGGGTTGTAGGAGGCTATCATAGCCAAAAACAGAACTCGGAAGACCATTTTGGCTAGCAGAGGCACTGCGGGCTGGTCCTTCGCTGTTTCCAGGGCGGCCCTGTGGGCCAGATCTAAGTATCTCGCAGGCTGGATCCAGCCCACAGGTTTTGAGTTTGACATCCCTGAACTACAACATTTTGTCCTGCCCACTCGGTGACAGCCCTTCAAGATGCTGTAAGATTTCCCCTAGGCCTTCTTCTTGTTAGGCTAAAATTTAAAGTTTCCTCTCCAGGATCTGGCCTTCTAAAGAGCAGTCCAGGGTTGATCTCCTCTAGGACTGACCGTTTTTGTTTTTTTTTGTTTGTTTGTTTGTTTGTTTTAAATTTGATTTATATGCCGCCCTTCTCCGGAGACTCAGGGCGGCCTACAATGCGCTAAGCAATAGCCTTCATACTTTTGTATAGTTATACAAAGTCAGCTTATTGCCCCCACAAACTGGGTCCTCAATTGACCTACCTTAGAAAGGATGGAAGGCTGAGTCAACCTTGAGCCTGGTGAGATTCGAAACTGCAATAATTGCAGGCAGCTGGTGTTAATAACAGGGTGCTTTAGACCACTGTACTACCAAGGCTCTTGCAGTCCAAGGGACTCGCAGGAGTCTTCTCCAGCACCAGAGTTCAAAGGCCTCCATTCTTTGGCGCTCAGCCTTCCTTATGGTCCAACTTTCACAGCCATACATTGCAACTGGGAAAACCATCGCCTTGACTATACGCACTTTTGTTGGCAGGGTGATGTCTCTGCTTTTCAGTACGTTGTCTAGATTTGCCAAATAGATGGGGAAGAAATGGAGGTGGTGACAGGTTTTATTTTCCTGGGCTCCAAGATCACCACAGATGGGGACTACAGCCAAGAAATTAAAAGACGCTTGCTCCTGGGGAAGAAAGCTATTGAGAGATAGATATGCCAATTCTTCTCTACTCAGAAGATAAGACGATGTGTCCTTGGAGGGCAACCTCTAGGATTGTAGACTAGATGGGGAAGTAAAAAAAAAGAAAAGACACCCCAACATAAATGGCAGTGATTCACCATGTTTACATCGCTTCGAAGATCAAAATGCAGAAGATGTCCACCAAGTCACTACTTGAAGGAGACTTCGCCTTCATAGAAGCAGAGTCAATTGGATTGAGAAGGTCCTTCTCAGCTGCCCAGATACAATGAAGGAAGGTTTCTGGGCCTTTATAGAAAACTTCCCCCTTTTAAATTTTCCCTCTAGTCAACAGATAAAACAGTATAATTACTTCTGCTTCAGAGAACACCAGGAAAAATAAACGTGTGCGGAAGTTTATACAGACAGACAAAGACACATATATTCACAAGGGGATTTTTTTCCTTTCAACCAGTCTTTTAAAGGCTATATCTGCAAGTTCCCTTTAGGAAGGAAAGGTTTATAAGGCGAAAACACTTCTTCAAACCATCCTTATTGGGAACCGTACGATCCAGCGGCGATGAAGGGCCTGGTTTTGATACTAACGCTGGTCATAATAGCTAATCACATCAGTCAGAACGATGGTAAGTCTCTTTTCTTTAATTTCAGCTTGACCCCATTGGGCTTAACGACAGAACCCATTTCCTGATACAGAATAACAGAGATGGAAGGGACGTTAGAGATCTTCTAGTCCAACCCTCTGCTTAAACAGGAGACACCGTGTAACATTCCAGACAAGTGGTTGTCCAATCTCTTCTTAAAAGCCTCCACTGTTGGGAGCACTCACAACTTCTGGAGGCAAGTTATTCCACTGGTTATCCCAAAGGTGCTTTTTTTCAAGAGGCAACTGGCCTTTCTGGTTTTTACAGGTTAACAGAGTTGGAAGGGACCTTATAGGTCATCTAGTCCAACCCCCCGCTCAAGCAGGAGACCCTACACCATTTCTGACAAATGGCAGTCCAATCTTTTCTTGAAAGTCTCAAGTGAGGAAGCTCCCACAATTTCCAAAGGCAACTTCTGTTCCATCGGTTGATTGTTCTCACTGTCAGAAAGTTCCTCCTCATTTCTAGGTTGAATCTCTCCTTGATCAGTTTCCACCCATTATTCCTTGTCTGGCCTTCAGGTGCTTTGGAAAATAGCTTGACCCTCTTCCTCTCTGTGGCAGCCCCCAAGATATTGGGGATATTGAAATGTTTTAAATGATGGGCCAAACTTTATTTAATTATTTTAAATCTATTTTAACTTTTGTGTACAAATGTTTTACTTTGGCTGTTCACCGCCCTGAGTCCGAAAGGAGAAGGGCGGTACAGAAATCTGAAAATAAAATAAAAAATAAAAATATTGGAAGGCTGCTATCATGTCTCCCCTGGTCCTTCTCTTCACTAGACTAGCCAGGCCCAGTTCCTGTAACCGTTCTTCATATGTTTTAGCCTCCAGTCCCCTAATCATCCTGGTTGCTCTCCTCTGCACTTTTTCTAGAGTCTCAACATCTTTAGATGTTGCTATGGTTGCGTGAGGTCTGGTTGTAAGTCCCTTTTTTCGGTGCCATGGTAACTTGGAACAGTCACTAAAGAAATGGTTGTGAATTGAGGTCTACGGGTAAAGTTTTGCTATCAGCACTGGGTCTGCCCCATCCAAAAAGAACAGCTGGGTGTAATGAATTCGCTACCATCACTTCTGTTCCACCCTGAAACCTGGCTTAAAGGAGCAACGCTAAAAAGAAGGAAGATGCCATTTGAGACACATGATGGCACCCTTAGACAATGATTGGAGTACCTCAGTCTTGTTTTGCATAGTCTAGATCAGTGCGCTGCCCAAACATTTTGCCACCAGGGACCCGTTTTGTGGAAGACAGTTTTTCCACGGAATGGCCAGGGGGTGGGTGGGTGGGAAACGTGCTACCTAGATCAGGGGTGTCAAACTGGATTTCTTGGAGGGCTGGATCAGCATTGTATTTGTTCTCCATGGGCTGGGACAGGGGGAGGTGGGGGGAGATAGGACAGATGGCCTCCTGTAGCATCCTGTTGGCCAAAACGGGGCATGCCCCATTTTGGCCGGCAGTGTGCTGCAGGAGGCCGTCTAGGCCAAAAATGGGGTGTGCAGGGGCTCCCCTGTGCCCCATTTTCACTAGCAGAGGCACCACAAGCCAGTCCTTTGCTATTTCCACACTAGCCCCACGAGCCAGATCTAAGCACCCCACGGGCCATTTGACACCCCTGACTTAGATCCTGCAAATGCCCAGGGATTGGGGAACTCCTGTTCTTGTTAATACGCCGCACTCCAAGGCACAAAAATAGCTGGTTAAAAAGACTCTCTTAAGATGCATTACAGCAAGGGCAGCCATCAAAATACCCTGTTTTAAAAAAAAAAAACTATAGAAAATAAAAGATCAAAGAAGAGGGTTTAAAAAAATAAAATAAGCAAATGGTTTTTCAATGACAACAACAGCAAAATTGCTTAGCGCATTGTAAGCTGCCCTGAGTCTCCGGAGAAGGGCGGCATATAAATCAAATTAAAAAAAAAAAGAAGTGGTGTAATAAATAATGATAGATTTGTATTCGCCATGCTGGTACAGGTGCATGCCCCACGCATGTATTGCCCTACTGCAGGAGTCCCCAACCAGGGCGTGGTTCTCCCGAACTGGTTCTCCCGAACCAGTCGGTTCGGACCGGTTTGGGAGAACCGGTAGCTCCAACGATCAGCTGGGAGCGAACCGGTTGACCCCGACAACCAGCTGGGCCCACCTGGTCAACCGACAACCAGATGGGCCCACCCACCCCCACCCGCGCTATTTTCCTACCTTTATCTTCTCAGCTGATTCGCACGGCTGAGCAGATTGCAGATTAACAGGTTGTTAAACCGGGAGGATCCCACCACTGTCCCCAATCCCTGGTCTGTGGGCTGCAGCATGCCAGCAACCAGGCCACACAAATAAGCAAAGCCCCATCTGTGGGATGCAGGCAGCACATGAAACTACGACCCCTCCAGTCAAGGTTGGGTTCTACTTACCTTTACTACTGGTTTGATAGTAGAAGAAGCTTCTGCACATGCGCAGATCACCGATGATGACATCCGGGGTAGTGGGCGGGGCCTCCTGCTGGTTTTACTACCGGTTCTTGCGAACCGGTCCGAACTGGGGGCAACCCACCACTGCCTCCGGTCCACGGAAAAATCTTTCTCCCAGGAACCAGTCCCTGGTGCACAAAATGTTGGGGGCCACTGCTTTAGTCGTCCTCTTTTGTCCACTAAAATTCTGAATTTTTACCTTTGCTGCTGACACCCGAAACCCGAGCAGCATATAAAGTCACCTTTTCTACTTTTTCTTGTAAATGCATTTCTTTCAACTATTCAACATTGTGCAACAGTTACGAGAAAGTTTCTTGGTTCATAAAGTCACTAAGAATCAAGCCCAGTGAACAAAGTTTGCTTACCAATCTTTTAATTTAGATGGTTCAGTTAAAAAGTTTTCATTGTTTGAAGATACTGTGCCTGAAAAATCCTATGCCTAAGAAAGAAATGGGGAGGAATTAAAAGAAATGTTGGAAGAGTAACAGCATATTTAAGGTTTCTACACCTTGTTAGAGATTTGTAGTTTTGGTGGCATTCATACAATTACTTTCTGCATTTATACACTGCCCAGAGTCACTGTGTGTGAGTTGGGTGGTTATATAATTTTTTAAAAATAAATAAAAATAATAATAATTATACTTGGGTGTTTTTTGAATGTATGCAATTCAAAGTCCAGAAAGGGTGCATTTGCTCAATTTCGTAAGCCAACAGAAAACCTACACTTACCTAGCTACACTTTGCTAAACTTTGACTATTGTGCAAATACAACAATTGGGCCAGTGGGAGGTTTCAAATTTTTTTACTACTGGTTCTGTGGGCGTGGCTTGGTGGGCATGGCATTGCTTGGTGGGCATGGCAGGGGAAGGATACTGTAAAATCTCCATTCCCACCCCAATCCATGGGGAGGTTGATGCAAAATCCCCATTTCCTCCTGATCAGCTGGGACTTGGGAGGCAGAGAATAGATGGGGGCGGGGCCGGTCAGAATTTTTACTACCGGTTCTCCGAACTACTCAAAATTTCTGCTACCGGTTCTCCAGAACTGGTCAGAATCTGCTGAAACCCACCTCTGAATTGGGCCGTCATCTGGAGAAGTGTGTTATTACAGATTTTGGATGTATGCAGTCACAATGGCTAAGATCCTATATATCATGCTAACCCATTGTTTGTTACATGAATGGCTTGTAAAGAATCCTGAGCGGCTTGTTACATACTTCAGGCATAAACCACGGTTTCCAGAACCCAAGCTTGGAACTCATCCATGATGCTAGGCAACGAAACAAAAACAAACACATTGCGACATTGTCTATTGTGTGAGCCCAGTGAATTGTGGTTTATCCATTAAACTGCAATTAAAACAATAACTTACAGCTATTCTTTCAGCCTGGAGTGCTTAACCGGCTCGAGGGCGATGACCCAAAGAAGCGAAATAGTTAAACTGTGTGATACTGAAAGCTCTTTGGAGGAAAAATTTAAGATCAAGATGTCAAGAATACACTAAGAATACATTGCAGTAAATTATAAAACGTGTGTATTGATTTGCAAACAGGTATGGCATTCGAAGGGCATGTCGCCCACTTGGGAAGATGCAAGTGCTTAAAGCAGATTTCAGGGTTTTTTGGACTCAGACAAGTGAAACGCATTCAAGTCATCCCCAGAGGAATACACTGCCGAAGAACAGAGATTATGTAAGTGAGCTTCAATCTGGATTAAACAGTCTAGAGCAGGGATGGCTAACCTTTTTGCCATCGCGTGCCAGGAGTGGGATGGGTGGGTGTCGTGCACATGCGTGCCCACACCCATAATTCTATGCGCCCTGCCCCTGCACATACGCATGCGACCCTCCCCCCACGCTCCCCTTGCTCCTGGCATGTGATGGCACAGTAGGCCCATTTGTTGCTCTCCCCAGCCTCCAGAGCCTTCCTAGGAGTCTGGGGAGGGTGAAAGCAGCCTGCAGCACCCCCCAGAGGCCCTCTGGAGGCCAGAAACGGCCCGTTTGCCAACTTCCAGTGGGACCAGTGGGACCGGAAATTGGCAAATGGGGTGTTTTCGGCCTCTGGATGGCCTCCAGGGGGTAGGGAAGGCTGTTTTCGCCCTCCGCAGACTCCTAGAAAGGCTCTGGAAGCTGGGGAGAGAAAAAAATGGGCCTTCCCCACCACAACCCCGAGGTCCTCTGGAGACAGGAAACAGCCTGTTTCCCTACTTCTGGTGGGCCCAGAAGGCCCGAAAATCAGCTGGGAGTAAGCTCGATATGCCCACCGATATGGCTAAGTGTGCCACCTGTGGCACACTTGCCATAGGTTCTCCATCATGGGTCTAGAGCAGGGGTGTCAAACTCAAGGCCTGTGGGCCGGATGCGGCCCACGGGGTGCTTCGATCTCGCCCCCCGGTGCCGGCCTGGAAATATCAAAGGACTAGCCCACAGTGCCTCTGCCGGCCAAAACTGGGTGTGTTGCAGGAAGCTGTGAAGCAGTGGTGGGTTTCAACCGGTGTTACCACTGGTTGATTTTGCGCACACGCTTTGCGCACGCTTCGCACGTGCAGCCCCCCCCCCCCCCGCAGCCCATTTTTGGTCAGCTGTGTGCTGTAGGAGGCGTCCATCCTGTCTCTCCCCTCACCCCCGCCCCCACTGGCCCACGAAGAAGAACTACAGTGCTGATCCAGCCCTCGAAGAAATCCAGTTTGACACCCCTGGTCTAGAGGAAGCTTGTCATGTGGAACATGGGTCCCCCCCCTAAACCAGTGGTGGGTTTCAAAAAATTTTTACTACCGGTTCTGTGGGTGTGGCTTAGTGGGCGTGGCATGTCTTGGTGGGCGTTGGTTGGTGGGCATAGCAGAAGGATACTGTAAAATCTCCATTCCCACCCCACTCCGGGGGAAGGATATTGCAAAATCCCCATTTCTTCCTGATCAGCTGGGACTCAGGAGGCAGAGAATAGATGGGGGCGGGGCCAGTCAGAATTTTTACTACCGGTTCTCCAAACTACTCAAAATTTCCACTACCGGTTCTTCAGAACTGGTCAGAACCTGCTCTAAACTCACCTCTGCCCCCAACCCCCGGGCCGTGAACCGATATCGGACCGTGGCACACAAGAAATTGAACCACGGAAACAAGTGAAGCCCCATCCGCGGGATGCGGACAGCACACACAAAACCACGACCCCCTCCGGTCCGTGGGAAAACTTCTCTCCACCGATTGAGGGGGCCGCGGATCTGGAAAAACTAACAGCTTCCTTTCTCTTTCAGATTCACTCTGATAAACGAATGGAAATATTGTGTCAACCCTGACACTCCTTGGGTGATTTCATTGCTTAAAAAGCTGACCAAGAGGTACAGTCTTGCATATTTTTATTTATTTGTACTCTGTCTTTATTTTTACAAATAAGGCGGCAAACCTATCCAACCCGCCTTCTATTTTCCCCACAACGATAAACCTGTGCGGTGGGTTGGGCTGAGAGAGAGAGAGTGATTGGCTGGCTTTCGTGGCTAAGGTGGGACTAGAACTCATCATCTCCTGGTGATTGGTCCAAAGTCACCCAACTGGCTTTCATGCCTAAGGCGGGACTAAAGCTCAGAATCTCTGGTGATGGGGGCGGGGCCAGTCAGAATTTTTACTACCGGTTCTCCAAACTACTCAAAATTTCCACTACCGGTTCTTCAGAACTGGTCAGAACCTGCTCTAAACTCACCTCTGCCCCCAACCCCGGGCCGTGAACCGATATCGGACCGTGGCACACAAGAAATTGAACCACGGAAACAAGTGAAGCCCCATCCGCGGGATGCGGACAGCACACACAAAACCACGACCCCCTCCGGTCCGTGGGAAAACTTCTCTCCACCGATTGAGGGGGCCGCGGATCTGGAAAAACTAACAGCTTCCTTTCTCTTTCAGATTCACTCTGATAAACGAATGGAAATATTGTGTCAACCCTGACACTCCTTGGGTGATTTCATTGCTTAAAAAGCTGACCAAGAGGTACAGTCTTGCATATTTTATTTATTTGTACTCTGTCTTTATTTTTACAAATAAGGCGGCAAACCTATCCAACCCGCCTTCTATTTTTCCCACAACGATAAACCTGTGGGTGGGTTGGGCTGAGAGAGAGAGAGTGATTGGCTGGCTTTCGTGGCTAAGGTGGGACTAGAACTCATCATCTCCTGGTGATTGGTCCAAAGTCACCCAACTGGCTTTCATGCCTAAGGCGGGACTAAAGCTCAGAATCTCTGGTGATTGGCCCAAAGTCACCCAACTGGCTTTCATGCCTAAGGCAGGACTAAAGTTCAGAATCTCTGGTGATTGGCCCAAAGTCACCCAAACTGGCTTTCATGCCTAAGGCGGGACTAAAGTTCAGAATCTCTGGTGATTGGCCCAAAGTCACCCAAACTGGCTTTCATGCCTAAGGCGGGACTAAAGTTCAGAATCTCTGGTGATTGGCCCAAAGTCACCCAAACTGGCTTTCATGCCTAAGGCGGGACTAAAGTTCAGAATCTCTGCTGATTGGCCCAAAGTCACCCAAACTGGATGTCATGGCTAAGATGGGACTTGAACTCACAGTCTCCTGCTTCCTAGCTTTGTGCCTTAACCACCAGACCAAGGTTTCCGAGAGCCAGCCTTGTGTAGTGATGAAGGAGCTGGCTTAAGAGCAGGGGGGAGACCATCTCCCTTAGGTATGGAGGCCACTTGGGGGAACTTGGGCCAGTCACCCCCTCTCAACTTGATCAGTTTCCCTTTTGTGAGAAATGGCCATAGTCCAAAACTCTTGTTTGCATTATGTATATTGGTGACTTCACGGTGAGAACCAGGCAGATACAGTACAAGGCAAGATTCTGAGACAAAGATTAAAAAAGGGAACAAATCAGAGGATTTCATGTAATCTTCACGTAGTCCTTGATTTATGACTGGTCACTTCATTTTTAGGATCTTCCCAGGGATACCTATCAGGGGTGGGCTGATGGGTGTTCGCAGGGGTTCGGGAGAACTTCTAGCTAGGTTTCTGTATAGTTTGGAGAACCCCCAAATCCCACTCCTGGCTGGCTCCGCCCACCCCTCCCCCTCCTCCCAGGAGTCCCCACGCGCCCCGTTTTGGATGCAGGTAAATGCAAGGCACGTGCGGAGGCTCAGGGAGGGTGAAAAACAGGCCTACCGGAAGTTCAGAAACAGGCCTGTTTCCAGCCACCAGAGGGCCCCCGGAGCCTGGGGAGGCCGTTTTCACCCTTCCAGAGGCTCAAGGAAAGCCTCTGGAGCCTGGGGAGGGCAAAAATGCCCCCTCACCATGGTGCAGGAGGCTGACTAAGCCACACCCACCATGGTCACACCCACCCAGCAACCAGGCAGAGAACCCCTTGCTAAAATTTTTGTAGCCCACCCCTGATACTTATGACCCAGGTTCGAAGTCCTGACAGCCAGCTCCTCTCCTCCCTGTAGTCACATGATTGCAGCTGGCCCACAGTTATACCCCTTTTGATGGAAGCAAATGACAGAAACTGGCAAAATCTGCCAAAAATCAGTCACATGACCACAGGATGGTACAAATAGCCATAAACATGAGCTGATTGCCAAGCACCCAAAATGGGATCCTGTGATTATGGGATGTGTGGGGTGTATGTGGCCATTATAACTAGGTTGTAGGGTAGCTCTGGGGAAGTCTGTTTTAACTTCAACTGGTCACAGACAGAGCAACCAGTCACTAAGTGAGGAGGACCCCGTACATTATCCTGTACAAATGTACGTCTTCTTTTGTGAAACTGCTCAATCCACAGAAGAGTGTCCTGGATCCAAAAAAAAAAAACAAATTATCATCCTTATCCTCTTGTCTAGCCCTCTACAAAATAGGAGAATCACATGATTGGCTTATCATGTTGGCTGCTGTAAGGATTAGCAATGTAAAATAAAGTGGTTTGAACGTTTTCAACAATAAAGTTGTTATTTCTTGGCTCTTGGGGAACCATACCAAAAATAACATAGGATTCAACTCGTATAAGGAGTTATGTATGGATTCTATGATTTCTAAGTTTTGTAATCCTTTCATTACGAAGCACTTATGGCAGGGGTGGGATTCAGCCAGTTCTGACCGGTTTGGGCAAACCGGATGCTAATTTTACAATGACTGGCTGGCTCCGCCCACCCTACCCCACCCCTCCCCTCCAAGGAGTCTCCACGCGGCCCGTTTTGGATGCCAGGTAAGCGCAGGGCCTGCGTGGAAGCTCTGGGAGGGCGAAAAACAGGCCTCCCGGAAGTCTGGAAACGGAGGGTCTCCGGAGCCTAGGGGAGGCCACTTTTGCCCTCCCGGAGGCTCAAAAAAAGCCTCCAGAGCTTGGGGAGGGCGAAAATGCCCCCCCCGTAGTGCAGGTGGCAGAGTAGGCCACGCCCACCATGGCCATGCAGAGAACTGGTTGCTAAAATTTTTGAATCCCATCCCTGATTTATGGCTGTTTTTAACATTTAAAATCGTCAAAAACTTACATAGGTTATGTAATAACAACAAATTTGCTTTGATTGCAGCTAATTGCAAATGGATTTTTTTTTTCCCCTGGGGGTGAACTCCTCCTCTTAAGATGTCTTGAGAAAACAGCCCGTATCCTGCAAGCATCAGGTTTATCTTTCCATATGTACAGATTTAATTGCATCCGTTCAAGTGGCAATTTCTCCATTCCTTGGAAAAAGCTGGGGGCAGAAGGCAGACACGAGAAAATAATGACTGTTTTTGAATGAAATGCGTGATATTGTTCTGTTTGCTTAAAGGAAAGTTAACAATTCTGGCAAAGCTGCTATTGAATAATTATACTATGCAGCTACTCTGCAGTTACCACCCAGAGCTACGGCTTCACAGCAGTTTTGCTTCTAGTTGGTTTCTAAGAATTATGATGTACTCAGCATGTAGTCTCTGCCCCCAGGACTTCACATAGTCATAATCCTGCTCGTATCCTACATATTCCCTCAAATATTTTCTTTCTATTTTGTACTCTGCAAGAATGTCTCAGCTGTTTTGCTGAAAAGAGAGGGAAATTCACATACCATTCAGAAGTCGATAAAAATAACGGTTAATTTCATATGAATGAAATTAACCTTTCTGGTTGTGGCTGATGGGTAACCAAGCCAGGCCTACTCTTTCTGACTTCACTTTCCAAACCACTATGCGTTGCTCTGTTTGTGGCATGTATCCATCAGGAGTGGGTTCTACTTACCTTTACTACCGGTTCGCAACGGGAGCGCGCGTATGCGCTGATCACCCGTGATGATGTCGTGGCGGGTGGGTGGAGCTTCCCACCGGTTTTACTACCAGTTCTATAGAACCGGACCGAACCGGGGACAACCCACTACTCAGTGGTGGGTTGCCCCTGGTTAGGACTGGTTCGCAAGAACCGGTAGTAAAACCGGCGGGAGGCTCCGCCCACTGACCCGGACGTCATCAGGAAGCTTCTGGGCATGTGCAGAAGCTTCTGGGCATGCGCAAAAGAACACGCAGCCCCATTGCGAACCAGTAGTAAAGGTAAATAGAACCCACCCCTACCACTACTGGTATCCACAATGTATTATGTTTTAGATATTTGCCGCAAACTATAACAATGCCTAATGTTGTGTTGGCTGTGTGATGAAAATATATATTCTTTTTGCAAAAAGTGCCACCAGCTTTCTTTGACATGTTGGATACATTTGGAGTTTCGAAAAAAAATCTTAGGAGCTGTTGCAAAACTGATCTTTATAATGGAGGCTGGCAAGAGGATTATATAATTTGACCCCGGTGTCCATTAAAAAGCAATTTTTAAAAAACGACCTTTTCCAACTAACTGAATTTATTAAAAGACATGAAGTTTGTTCAAAAGGCATAAACTATGCAGCTGCAGACATTTGGAGATTATACAATTCTTCGTTTTTTCTTCTTTCACTGCTTGAAAACATCCTCTTTTTTTGAGCCAATCAGCAAACAGGGATGACTGTCCATGCTCCCCAGAACTCCATCCGTAGCCTAGAGCAGTGATGGCTAAACTTTTTGCCGTCACGCGCCAAAAGCAGGGAGAGTGCAGGAGGGGAGCATGTGTGCGTGGCCACACCCATAACTAAATGCGCCCCACCCCCCGTGTGACACCCCCCCCATGCTCCCCACACTTTTGGCACGCCTTGACTTGCAACAGCGTGTTTAATGACCATTCAAAGTTATGGCACTGAAAAAAGTGACTTATGACCGTTTTTCATACTTATGACCATTGCATACGATCATAGTCATACGATCAAAATTTGGATGCTTGGCAACAGTTGTTTCAAATTTAGGAAATCTAAATTCTTTCTTGCACCTCAGGATGTTGCATCTGATGCTCACTCAGTTAAAAATTGTTCCATTGTAGACTCCGTACATTTCTGCAATTTTTTTATTTATTTCAAATCTCAGGATTTTCT